GGGCAACAGAGGTCTCTACGCCACATACGTCGTGAGCTTTTAAATCTCCGAGAAATTCAAAGGTGTCCGCCGATATCACAGATCTGAGGCGACTGCCGCAACGCTGTGATTGCCGTCTTCACCAAGAGAGAGCAGTTGCACTTCATGTATAAATCCTCTGCCGATTGGTGAGTCAGAAACTATGGGGGGGGGGGGGTCGACAAAATACATGCGGTGTCAGTGAGGCCGTTGAGACCGCGTTCGTTAACCGCCACGCGGATGTGACAGGGACACGGATTTTCTGGGCGGTGACAGGCGGACGAGTCGCCAGTCAAAGCTCCTCTTCTGTGATGTCACGTGTGCGGAAACTTTCCAACCTCTTTTTTTTCTTTAATGTCACAAGTCGGTTCCTGGGTGAAGCGTTGGAGGCAGCTTGGTTTGAGGAGGCCAGAGGGCAACTGATCTAACACCCCCCCCCCCCTCTGCACCCGCCCCCATCCTCCCACAGACTGTCAAAGTCAAAGAGCGACCCGCTCTCGGTGAGCAAGATTAGAAACCAATTACGGTCTGAAACGTTTGCTTTCTGCAGGCCGACAGGAAACGGCAGCATTCTGACTCAGTCGGGCCCATTTTAGAAAAGAATAAAAGTGGGACCTGAGATTAAGCGGAGGACACGAGGGGCCCACGAGACACTGCTGCTGATGGAGGACGCACAGAAGACAGGGCTCTTGTGTCGGAGGCCGTCCATCAGGACTTCCTGCCAAGCGCTCTGTGGCCAGAGGAGGAGGAGGAACGGGGCAGATAAACCCCCCTTTTGCCCGGCGGGGGGGGGAGCCCTCTGAGGCGTTTGCACTGAACTCCAGGAGGGAAAAGTCGTTTCAAAAGGCCGATGCGAGGCGGCTTCCTGCCAGAGACGAGCGCGCTCTGCGGTCGCTCTGCAGGCTCAGCGGAAACGCAGCGCTTCGCTTGGAGATTGCGACGCTCGCAGAAGCTCCCTCGCTCACTTGTGCAAGGTGGCTCCTCCCCTCCTCCTCCTCCCTCCCCCTCCTCCCTCGCAACTTATGCAAGAAGTTCTTGTGGACACCCCATGTCCTCTTAATGTGAGCCGAAACGGACTGGAGCTCGAAAGGGGAAGAGAGGACCAAGCGTATTGTTACGTGTGCAAACGTATTCTCACATCAAACAGTCAGTCATCCCAAAAAGATGATTGACACTTCCTCAAAACCGTGACCTTTAGGAGCCAAACTCATTTTAAAACCTCTGAATCAATATTTCTGCCAGTTAATTAGGGAAGGATGCATTTCATTCTACTTAAATATTAGGAGTCTGTCTCCATTAAGCACGAAATTTAATCATTTCTCGCCAGGTTTTTATTGATACAATTGTTCAATTATTTTATTTCTGCTGGTCTAAAATAAAACTTGTTCCTCGAGCACAATGAGTCCTAAATCTCTAAAATGAACTCTCCCGTTTACCTTCGGCCAACACGACGTCCTTCAGCTTCTCCACGGCCTCGGCGAAGCGCGCCACGTCCCTCAGCAGCGCCGGGATGTCCTCCACCTCGATGGCCGTGCTCTCCGGACCGTCGGACGGCGTCGTCGGGGCCGAGGCCGCTCTGCCCTGACCCTTCGTGAACACCCACGACTGCAGCGGGAAGCCTGAGCACAACGCACGCAACAAGGCGGGACATCCCATCAACGTCTTCACTCGGCACATTAGTCCTCAGGTATTCAGGTGGACGGAGTTCGGCACATTTCTCACCACGGCCTCTTTATAGAGGATCATTTGCCCGTTTGAGGCCGTAAAGTACTCGTATATTTGATTTACTCGAGCAAGAAATGGCTCCTTTTCCAGGAGACAGAACTTTGCTCCCAGACAAGAAAGTCTGGCAAAAGCATTTTGAGCTTTTCCACTTCGGTTGAAGTTAAAACACAACAGCGATGTAACAGCGAGGTTGCTCGTTGTTACATCAATGGCAACAAATTCGTAATCATCTTTAAACGCTCCGTTTATTAATATCTTTGTCATTTAAAAACTATTTGAGCACGTCGCCTTCGTCTCGGATGATGACCAAATCCAAACTGAAGATGCAAACTACCAAACGGCTCATGGCTGAAGTGAATAAATTAATTCATCGTGGATTATTTTCTCCTTATTTAGTGCACTTCACGCGTCACATTAGTCTTTCCGTTTGGCCTCTTGTGGACGGATGTCGGCACATTTCTCACCTGCGGCGCTGGCGTGTCTGCTCAGCGCCGTCGGCCTCTTCAGGGTTGCCACGGGAGACGGGCCGCCCGCCGCCAGCTTGCCGTGCTGGGCGCTGGGGGTCCCCGGGCAGGACACGGAGGGGTCCTGCGACCCGGCCGACGTTGGGGTGAGTGTCGATGAGAATGAGGAGGACGAGGAGGACGAGGACCAGGGCGAAGAGGAGAGGCCGCCTTCGGCCGCATCTTTACGAGGCTGCTCCTGCAGGCTGGAGAGCTGGGGGGAGGGAGGGGAGGAGATCACATGACTAACCCGCATGCAGCTCAGGCCTTTCCTCTAAAAAAGACAAGCAGGCTTGTTGGTAAACACAAACGACTTTCAAGACTTTCACAAGATCCGGTGTCTCGTTGAGCAACACTTCCTGACTGCAGGCCGCTGTCGGGTGTGGCGGCGCAGCGCGAGTCATCGGAAAATCACCTTCTGATCACTTATCGGGTCAGAAAAGGCGACGTCTTTTCAGATAAATCACCTCTCAAAAAAGGAAATAAAAGCTTTTTTTCATGTTTAAACTAAACGCATCTCATGCGGTCCTCTGGCCAAGTCACCCGCGCCGAGTGCGCCGTACCGTTACCTGCTTCAGCCATACGTTGTGCTTGTTGGGCAGAATGTCCACCCGCTCCTTGGCCTTGTTCTCCGCCTTCTTCACCCTCTGGCTGGAGGAGTACGGGTTGTAGCTGCGCTTCAACATGCTCATTTCTCTCCAACGCGCGCTACAGCTCGGCGCGCGCGCGCCGCGTTAACTGAAGGGGTTGAAACGACGCGCTCGCAGAGTTCCGTCCCCAACCGCGCGTAAAGTTCCTGATCTCAGATTAAAAAAAAAAAAAAAGAAAACCCACACCAGCGCTCCGAGAGAGAATAACCGTCACTGAGTCCCGGTCCGCTCGCCGTCTGACGGTGATCTGACACGCACGCACACGCACACACACGCAGAAAAAAAACAGAAGTGATGCGCTACTCACGGACGGCGCGCTGCTCTGCGGCGCGGGGCTTCCTGCTCGGCTCTTCTTCGTGATGGAGGGCGTCTTGATGAGCTCCCGCTTCTTCCTGGCGAACATCTTCAGCGTGCCTCGGCCGTCCATGCCGACCTCCTTGAGTTTGACGCGCAAGCCGCCCACCCAGCCGCCGACTCGCCACTTGCGCGCTGCTGCTGCTGCGCCGCCGCCGCCGCTCAGCGGGTGGTGCCCGGTGCCATGCGCGCCGCCGTGCAGCCACGACGTCTGTCCGTCCGAGAGCTGCCTGTCAGTCAGCCGTCTGTCCTTCCTCCTCGTGTCGCTGCTGCTGCTGCTGCTGCTGCCGTCGCCGCCGCCGCTGTCGCACATCGAGCCGCGTGCGCTCCCGGCATCCGCTCTGCGCGTGCGCGGGCAGGTCGGTTTTTCCCCCCCCCCCTCAGAGGAGGCGGAGGGATTAAAAAGAAAACTAAACTAGTTTAACGCGTAAATGGCGTCACGGGGTGAAAACCGCGAGGAAGAGCGTTGAGTCGCTCGTGAGGTTTAAAACTTTAAAGAAGGCAGGTTTGACTCGGCGCTGCTTTGTGACGCAGTCAGGGAGCCGCTTCGCGCGGATACTCGTCAGTTCGTCGCTCGCACACCTGCGCGTGTTTGCGACACGTGACCTCGACCTTTTCACGGTATCCCTCCGCGGACACCTGCTGCCGACAACGAATTAGACGAGAGGACGCGTTCGTGCGGTGCGCACGAGACAAATGTTATCAGTAACCACAGATACATTTAGAAGTTATTTTGTAAATATTGGGAGATATTAAACACAGGATTGAGGGCTTTGTGTCTGCTACATTTTCCGTTTCTTAATATCACTGTTAATTCGTTCTTTTTTGCAATTGGCTGTTTATTTCAAGTCTTGTTACTTATAACAGTCTGTATTTGGGTTTTAATGCTGTCCTCGTCCCGGGTACAACATGTCAATCATGGATAAACACAAAATAAAAAAAAGTTCATAAAGGGAAGAAACGCTTGAAAAACTGATCACTAAATTTGAAAAAGAAATTTCACAGACATTTTGAGAAGTAAAAACATGACATTCAGCATTATTTAAACAGTATTTTGGTCTCATCCCTTTTTGGTAATTAAATAAAAATAAATAATATAAGAATAAAACTCTTCAAACGTGTTCTGGCTTTGAAACATTGAGCTGCACATTAAACTGCTTGTATACAATTATCACATCTGACCTCCAGGTTACGAAAATGTTATGACAGGCGTCTTCTCAGATTCTTACACTATTTATCACTTATTTTTGTTTAGGTTGCACATTTTTATGTTATATTACGATCACTTATCTTATTGATTTAACATGTACATTGGATCATTATATCACTTGTAGGTCGTAAAGCTGTATTCTATTGAATTAATCCAATGTTTCATGCTGTTTCACTGATTACTGTCATATAGCTCTATGTTCTTTTTAATGACATTGTCATTTCATCAGCGGTCAGGAATTTTTGAGGCAATAGTTAAATTTTACGTCTCCTTGGCGACAAAACCGCAGTTAAATGTGCATTTAGAGCTGTACATGTGAGTGTAAGAATTGTCATTTTACCTTTCGAACCATTTTTGATGTCAAGATGTTGTGCAGAGTGAACAGGAGATAATAATAGATATGATCGTGTCTGTTTCAGTGTGTCTGTATTTAACCGCATGTCATATATCCACTTCTGTTTTTATTGTCTTTTGGTGTAAAATTCAATGAAAATTAGAAAAATAAAATACGTGCAACTTATAAAACAAACCACAAAATATTTGCCACACAATGAGCCTTTGTGGCCCCTGGAGGTCCGACTTCTTGATCCGGCCTTTGAGGAGTTTAATAAATCGAGCTCGCTTCAAGGTTGCATCGTCCGATCACTGCTTTCCGTATACAAGTTATTATCACGTCAACAGCCAGAATATTAATGATCATCAAGGTTGTGTTGAATAATGATAATCCTGCCAAATATATCAAAGCCGGAAGCATCTATAGTTATTTTTTCCATTTCGTACCATTGAACACGCCCACATTTAAAATCAGTAAAACAGTTTAATGTAGAAAAAGTCAAAGATGCATCCAAACATTGTTCTGAATATTTCTATGTAACAACTCATTCGCTTTATAATAAAACTAGAATTTGTTTCTATCTCACAAAACCGTGGAAGTACAAAAAGTTATGGCTGAATTCTATCACATGGTGTCATTTAAATAAAAAAATAAAGAGGCACTTTGACCTGAACATTCACAGGAGGAACCAATGTCTCCCTGAAAAAGTTACAAAATGAGTTTGTTCAGCGAGTGAAATAGTGTCTTTAAACTCTAGAGCTCCGTGGCCGGACCCCACTCGATGTCGTCCTCCTCGTCCTCCGAGCTGTCGCTGCCTCGGATCTGTGTGCGTCTGAACTGGACGGCCTGGTGATGATGCGCTAGCCTGTCATAGAGGGGACGGGGGTGAGAACGTCGGCCACAGGAGCGGTTTGACTGCGGCGGCCAAAGACAACAGAAGAAGAACTTACACGATGAACTGAGGGCCCTTCTTCTCGCCGGCTGGTTCCTGCGGCTCGGCGGAGCGCGTCTGGAGGAGAGAGGACGCCGCGCGGTTTAAAAACGGGAAGCGTTCACGTCGCTTTGTATCCGACGAAACATTGTTCACTAAATAAACACGCAGCTCAAACGTGGGGTTTAACCCACGAGAAAAACCACGCTTCCTTCAGTCCTGATCGTTGGGTTTAAATATGAACATCAGGCATCTTAAACATTTCTTTATCGTTTTTTCCAGACTCAAAATAATCAACAAATATTTACATTTGAGTAACAATAACTATGATGAAAATTGTGTTTTTTCAATTTACCGACTGATGAAGTCATGTGACCAACAATCTATAAAAACAGGCATCTTCCTGTAAAATAACATGACTACCTGCTGTAGTTTCTCCTCGATGGCGGACAGGCTGGCGTGCTGCGGACTATCGGGCGGCGCCTCGGCGTAAGCCGGCTCGGCCACAGAGTGCCGGGCGGAGGGGTCGGGGGCTATGAAATCCGGGGGTCCGTCCATGGCGCTAAAATCTGAGTCTGTGAAACTGCGATGCGTGAAGTCCTCTTCCTCCTCCTCCTCCTCCTCTTCCTCCTCGGCGGCGCTGTGGGACGGGCTGTAGCGCTCCTCCCGCGGTGACCTTGGCTCGGGCACGAGCAGCAGCGGCGGGATTCCTCTGAGCGGCCGCGAGTCGGCGTCCTCCGACTCGGCGTCGGACTCGGCGTCCTCGGCGGGCTCCGACGACCGGGCCAGAGCGGACCCGGCCACCCGGGAGCCTCGGGGGACCTGGGCGGCGCTCTGCCCCGGGAACGCCTCCTCCAGCTCCTCGTTGTCGGTGTAGACCTCTCCGTCCGTGTCCTCCAGGTCGCTGGCGGCGCTGAGGTAGTCGGACTGGGTTTGGTCCAGAGCGTCCAGGTCCTGTTCTCCACCGCTCTCCAACTAAGAGACGTTAGAAGATATCAAAATGTACGTGCAGTAAACATGCAATGACACAATAACCGTTACTTTAAAAAAAGCTTAAAAGACACGTGAGAATTTGTACCCCATAAAACAACAACCCAAACGAACCCTTCAAAACAGCGACACCGGGTTGAATGTGAATCATCAGGTGTGTTTACCTTCACTTCAGACACCCAGACCGGTTTGGACTGTTGGTGGCGGATCTTATCCTTGAGACTGTCGTACCAGACATTGGAGCCGGGCTGCAGGTCGATACGCGCTGGAGCGAGACGACGAGTGACGAGCGTAAACATTGAGGATTGTTCCCAGGTAAGCAAACAAAAGGACAACGTCCATCTATTGTGCCTTCAGTGGCACTTTACGGGAAAGCTCCCCTACCCGAGAAGAGGTGGCTGCAGTGCTTCCTCAGCTTCAGGGCCTGCGTGTAGAGGCGTCTGGAGCTCTTGTTGGAGTCGGGGCTGTACCTCTGCCTCATGGCCTTGACGTCCTTGCGGCTGTGCGGGTCCAGGAACAGCACCATCGGGTGGTACTGGATGTAGTTCAGCCTTTCCACGGCAGTGGGAGTGATGTCCAGGAGCGGGTGCTTGTCCTGGGAGAGAGGGTTACACGGATGCATGTATATGTAGATATAGGACTACATCGTATTCGACGGTCTCGTTCGCGGCTGCTCACCTTCTCTGCGATTCTCCTCACGGTGTCCAGTTTAATGACCGTGGAGCCGCCGTCTCCTCCTCCACTGCGAGGCACCATGTCTGCAGACACACAGCGTGCATCACATCGGGAGAAACCAACAAAATGCTTCAAATAGACTGAAACCAACCTGCCACTTCGTAATCGTCGGGCATCTCTCTGGCCAGCTTCTCCATGGCAACGTCGTTAAGAGGACCCAGAATGACGATGGGACGTTTGAAATTAGCTGGAGGCAAAAAAAAAAACAACACGCTTGGCTCACGACGACATGATTTTACAAAACTGTGTGTGTGTGTGTGAAAAAAAAGAGAAACACACCCACCTTCTCTGAGCAGGACCCTCTCGTAGGCCGGGAACTTGCCCTGGATGGTGAGGTGCAGCAGGTCCTCGCGACTCCGCCGGATGTTCTTCTCGTTCTTTTTGTTGCCCCTGAGCCCCCGCAGCTTCCAGAACTCGGCCCGCGGGCCCGACACCTGCCGCTCCCCGCTGGCCCGCTGCGCCTGCTCTATGCTGGCCAGCGCCTCCGCCCTGAAAGAAGACCGAGAAGAAGGAGGCGCCGACGTGAGACGTGAACGGCGGCTCCCGGGGCGAGCTGGAAACCGGAGTTCTCTCTCCTCCCCGCTGACCTGGCCTGGTTGGGGATGGTGCCTTTTTCCATCTCGTGCAGGTCGTTCCCCATGCGGCTGGCCAGCCAGTTGCCCATCTTCCCGCGGTGCATGGTGTCCACCACCCTGAACACCTCCCCTCGGGTGAAGCTCAGCCCGACGGGGCCCTCGGCCTCGTGGTCAAAGTGGGTGCGGATGTAGAAGTTGTCGGCCAGGTTGGACTTGATGATCTTCTTATAAACTGAGCAGGGGGGGGGGAGGGAGAACTTAAGGTCGGTTGGTGCAGTTTCACGCGTGGTTCTCACCCGAGAGGCTCGGAGACAAACTCACTGTCCATCTTGTTCTGAGTGCAGATGTCAACGCGCTCTCCTCGCTTGATGTTCAGCAGGAAGTTGGCCGCCTCTTCTCGTGTGAAATGACCAAAATCGACTTTATTTACCTGAAGAAAAAGAGGTACAAGTTTCAAGAAAGATGACAGAATGAATGTGTTAATGTACAAACGTATTGATTGATGATCATCTCACCTGCATGATCTGGTCCCCCTCTTTCATCCCCTCCTCGTACGCCGGGCTGTTGGGCTGAACTCCGCCCACGAATATGCCCACGTCGTTGCCCCCCACCAGCCTGAGACCCACGCTGCCCTCCTTCCGAAACGACACGGTGTGAAGGTCCGAGCTGTACCTGAGAGCGAGGACAACAGTTCATCAGGGCCGCGGGTCCCGTGTGTGTGTGTGTGTGTGTGTGTGTGCGCGCTGTGAGGGCAGATCAGCTGGAGGATTTAAGGGGGCTTTCCTCACCCTGGATTCTGGGACGGGTAAGAGTCCGGAGGCAGGGAGTAGACGGGCTCCTCCGCAGGCTTCGCTGGAAGAGACACGGTAAGATCACAGCTCAAAGTGGCCGTTTCTTTCTTCATGTATAGTCAGTCAAGAAAAGAAAGACTGGACTGCAAAACGTTGGCTCGGTGACACGTAACGAAGGCCACAAACGGACCACACGTCCACAAAAAAGGATGTTAGTTCTACTCTAATGCGCTTCTATCTCGAGGCCTTACAGTACGTCGGCGGGTTGCTCCTCCCCGAAGCGCCGGACTTCAGGGTGTCCGTTCTGCTGGCGGCGAGGGGGCCCCTGCGAGGCGGAGAGAGGGAGAGAAAACGTCACACGCTGGATTTGTGCCACGAGCTTAAACGCAGCGCGGCCGCCGCGCTCCGCCGTACCTGCGGCCGCCGTCGTCCCCCCGCTCGGAGCTGCCGGACCTCCTGAGATGCGACAGCTGGTCCGACTCCGAGGAATCTGAAAGCAAAGAGAGCGGTCAGCAGCACCGACGTACGGCCTCTCGGCTCGGAACTCTGAGGCGACGGCAGCGAGGAGGAGAGCGTGTGCGAGTGGGATACCGACCATCCGCGGGAGGCCCGGTGGGCGACGGGATGCGGCGAAGGGGCTCCTGCTTCATGGCGACCGGGGGGGATTTGATCTCAGGCAGAACTCTGGTGACAAAATAATCATTTTAATCTTTTTGTTTGCCGATCTCGTGGTATAGAAACCACACAAATCATCTTTTCACTGTCAAAAGGAAGATTGTTAATTCAAATATCCAATCTTTATTCTGAAAATCACCTATTGACTCAGATATTTAAGACCACAACGTGCCGCGTTGGACGAATTCCACCAAAAATAAGACGTGTAGAGGAAGTGGTGAGATTTGGTTAAATAAACCTTCAATAAGTCAACATGTGGTTTGTCAGATGTCAATAGACAATGTTATCAGTTCCTTTCAAAAATGAAATACACTGCAAACTACACCTGTAATAATCTAAATGTTCAGGATTTTATTTGTCCACAAATTTAAACCGTGAAGCGAGACGTCGGTCAGCTGGTAAAGTGTCACCTCCGCCCACAAACACAAACACATCAGCGTGAGCTGTGATTTCATCTCGAGTGGGCCCCCGCACAAGTTTCGTTCTGCCTCTCAGCACCACAGATGGCGCAACGTGGCGCCGGAACACGGGTAACGTCACACGCGTGTGCCCCTCACCGGTATCTGCTGGGAGCCGGTTTGGACTTCACGCTGTCGGGAGATTCCCTGCGAGGGACGGATTCATAACTGGCCTCCGATTCCGGATCTGAAGAAGCTGCGAAGGGCAATAAATTGAATACGTTTCATTACATTGGACGGAAAACATTTGTATAATCACATTTTTTGAGTGATCTGTGATACTTTCAACCCTCTGAAGCCCAAAATCAGGCAGTTGTTCTTTTCTCCCGTCATATTCATAAGGCCTGAGCACAGTCACGACCAGAGGTAGAGAGAGAACATTTGTGCAGTAAAACACAAAAATCCATGTCACATAAAGAGAAAAAAGTTGAATTTTTTGATAATTAATTTTACAAAAATCTGAAATAGAAATATTTTCTATGTATTTATTTATCTATTAGCATTATTTATATTTTACCAATGTTGGCTAAAAGGGTAATATATTGAAGAGTCGCCGTGGTCACAGCCTCTGCTGTGGATACTTTAATGTCTTTGTAACGGATCAGGTCAAAAAGTAAAAGGTTTATGTACCAAACCTTCCTTTTTGTGTTGCGCTTCATGACGGAAGCACGCGATGTGTTCAACACACACACACACACACACACACACACACACACACACACACACACACACACACACACACACACACACACACACACCTTCTCGTCGCGGATTGCTGGCAGTGACGCTGGGGGCTTTCCATCGCGGCGGATCCAGCTGTGGCTGCAGGGCAACATCTGGCAGGACCCTGGAAGAGAAGAGAAAGAGAGGGAGGCGGGAGTGAGGGAGGAGGAAGACAACAGATCTCAGTTACGTTTGGAGTGGGGGGGGCGGCTGTGGCTAATTTGATGATTATTGATGAGGATTAGACTGAAATGGTTGAATATTCACCTTATGGGACTGTGGGGGGGAAGCTCTGTCTGTGACGGTGAACTGCTTTGTAACTGATTGAGAATAACCATTCAGTAGCATTCGTGGTCCTGATGTGAGAATATTGATCTCTATAACACATGCAGGTTTTATATTTGGGGAAACTGTTCTAGAGACGTTTGATTGGAATACTGTTGCTCCGGTGAAAGGAGTCCTGTGGTTAACCAGCATTTAGCCACATACAGGAAAGGGGACATGTTCAGTGCAAGTCGCTTTTATTTCATCGGTTAACAAAACAAAAAGTCAACTCAGAACACAAAACACTTGGTACACAGAAACACAAGTCAGGCAAAGCTACAAAATGAGCAAATCAAAATCAAGAGACAGAAGGGGTTTGATAATAAAAATGCAAAAATGCAAAAAAAAAAGGTAAAATACATGATTAGCTAATGTTTGAACAGGACAGGCGTGCACATTCTGCTCAGTGTCCCAATCCGTGAGACGTTGGTGGGTTTCGGGGGGGGGGGGGTGGGTGGGTGGGGTTGTGGGGGGGGTCGGCCCTTCATCTGTACCTGTATCTGCTGAGGGAGTCCTGACTGTACGTGGTGCTCTGCCTCTGAGGAGGTGGAAGGCTCACTTCCGGCTCCGACTCGGAGTCAGAGTCTGACAACGAGAAAAACAAAGTGAGGCAAATTAAAGGCAAATCAAAGGCAGCAGCAACTATCGCTTTCACAATGGCCTTTTTTTTACCTTTCGCTTTCTACCACCGGGTGGCACCAGATTAAGGAAATGTTCCGATCTGACTTTAAGTAGCTTTTAACGGCACGATGAGGATGATAAATGTCGTTTTTGGAATCACATCTCAGTTGTTAATTAAGTTAAGCCAATTAATTTACACTGGCAGCAATCAACGTTGAACATACTATAATTATAATAATTGGATATGAGCGAGCATTGAATCCAGAGCAAATAAAAAATAGTAATTAAAATGTTTTTTTTGTGAGAGCTGACCTGGGGGCAGGACTCTGAGAGGGGAGTTGACCCTCCTCGGGGCCTCGTGGCGAACGTCGATGGGGGAAGCTCCGAGTCCTCCTCCGTAGGCCAGATCAGGAAGAACTCTGGTGGGGGACGAGAATTGATCAGAAAATATCCTGCAACAGAAGGTCGGGAGGTGTTTGGTTTCTAAACCAGGGCGCCGTCCTCACTTGTATCGGCTGTCCGTACGGGGGCTCCGCCTGCGCGGGCGGGGGGGAGGTGCTGCCGTCCGAGTCCGAGTCAGACACCGGCCTGCGGGGGCGCGAGGCGCCGGAGGAGGAGGCGCGGGAGGTCGGCTCGGTGGAGACTTGAGGAGCGAACCGAGGGTTGGGGAGGATGGACATGCCGGACAGAGACCTGTGGGAGGGGACGACACGATCCATGTTTCTCATGTGAAATCTAACGACGCGGCTTGATGAACACGTTGGATGAACAGAAGAGAGGCAACGGACTTGTACTTGGCGGAGTCCTTCATGTCCGGACTGGTCCTCCTGAAGGAAGCAGGAGGAGACGCGCTGTTGTCCGACTCGGACGGAGCTGAGGAAACGATAATCATCAGCGACAAATGTCATCATCGGCTTTTCAAAAAAAACATGTTACTCTATTTTTTTAACCGGACGGCCGCGGCCGTGGGCGGGACCGACCTCGGCGAGGAGCGTAGGACTTCACGGGCGGCCGAGTCAAGGTGGAGCGCATTGGGGAGGAGTCCCGAGACTTGGACACGGGAGGTTCAGCTCTCGTTCTGGGTCAAATAAATCAATAACAACAAGGATGATGCAGCAATACTTGTGCATCAATTACTCCTGGGGAGCAACATGGAGCTCTGACTCTGTTATGAGTGGTTACATTTTAACGAAGGAGAGCACATGACTGGACACATAATGAGAGTTTGTCAAAATAGAATAAAAACAAACACTCCCGCTGTTGTGTGTACCTGCGTGTGCGCTTGTCTCTGGTGGGCTGGCGGGACGTCCTGCGGGTCGAAGTGTCTTCGTCCAGGTCGGAAATGTCTGACGGGTAAAACACAGAAATGTTTAAACGTACGGACTCGAGGGTCTCTCTCATTCACGTCTTTGTCTCAGAGCTGCTTTACTCCTCCCTCCCCCCCCCCATCTCCTCCTCACCCTCCAGTTCGGAGCTGCTGCCTCGGCGACGGTCGTCCTCGCTGTCGGGGCCGCTGTCCTCCACCTCCGGGATGCTGACCAGGAACTTGCGGTCGTCCCGGAGCACCGTCATGGTCAGCTTGCCCCGGCTCTTCTCCACCAGGTGCTTGGTCTCCAGCAGGGACAGATTCTCCGTCGTCATGCCGTTGATCTGGTCGAAGGAGACAAGAAGAAGAAGAAGAAGAGAAGAAGAAGAAGAAGAAGAAGAAGGACTCGTATCGATCCGTTGTCGTGGTTATCAGACGAATGGTCTGGATGAGAGTTCCCCACCTTGAGGATGAGGTCTCCCTCGTGCAGCGTCCCCTCCTTAGCGGCGAGGCCCGTCTCCGTCATGTGCTTGATGAAGATCTGGCTGCCCAGCTTCAGCCCGTACTCTGCAGGAAGGAGGAGGATCATCAGCACCGGTCGGGTCCAGCTGAAGACAGTGGACCCCCCCTCCCCCCCCCCCCCCGAAGTCTCACCATCTGTGACCTTCTTCTTGAGCAGCGTGGTCTTGATGGCTTTCTCCGGCGCGTCCTGACGCGGCAGCCTCTTGTACGCCGTCGTCATCAGCGGCGCCAGCGCGCTCCCGTTCCCGAACCCGTTGCGGTCCGGCGAGGCGCTGCGGGCGCGGTACCGCTGGCCGTCCCGTGTCGCTGCCGTCCGAGTAGCGCCGCGCGCGCCTGAGGGCTCTGCGTCCAGCAGTTTAGAGTGCGAGGCGCGCGGGTCGGCTTGGTGGTCGCCGGATCTGGATCTTGCGAGGGCGCTTCACCGTCTGGAGGGAGGGGAAGAGGTTCAGAGGAACGGAACGCCGCCGCCGTTGTTGTTGTTGTTGCCGCCGCTTCCTCTGCACTCACCACGTTCACCGTCTTGCCGCAGGACTTGAGGGTCTGGATGGTGTAGGTGGAGTAGACGTTCTCCATGGACTCGCCGTTGACCATGACGATCTGGTCTTTGTAGCTGCGGAGCACAGAGACGCGTCGGTGAGTACCGGCTCCGGTTCCCGCGTGTCCGGTGACGTGAACGGCGTTTCACGGGACTTACAACAGCCGACCGCTGGCCGGTCCGTTCGGCAGCACGTCCGACACCACCACGGCCGTGTCCCCGGTGTCCGGGTGAGGCTTGTCCCTGCCGCCTGAGATGGCAAAGCCGAACCCGAATTTGGCATCCTGCCATCGTGAGACAGAGGGGGACAAGGGGGGTGGGGGACAAGGGGGGGGGGGCGACAAAACAAGCATGAAGAGCACGAGCGGAGGCGAGAGAGCACGAGCCGAGGGACCGAGGGAGGAAGAGCGCATTCCAGAGGAGAGGCAGCTGGGCGCGTCACTCCCAAATTCCTGCCGGAGTCCGTGCCGTGAAACCGAGAGGCCTGAAGCTCCCTCCCCCTCCCCCCCCCTCCTCCCCCGACCGATACCGACTTTTAACCTGTGTATTTGTGCAGCCGAGGGCAAGTCAATAAAAAAAACAACGTCACGTCTGAAGCGGGTGTCTTTCAGAGCGCGTCGCACAAAAGAAGCACTTACTTTGTTGAGCGTTATCGTGTGTTGCTCCCATATCGTTAGCTCCTCCATACCTGGTTTCTGGAGAGAAACAAAACAAAAACAAAAACAAAAACAAAAAAATGATGATTGACTTCAGAAAAAAAAAAAAAAAAAGGAAAAGTCTTTTAGGCGATATCACAAATAATGAACCCTGATACAGTAACGCAGGTCCTTACGCAAGGACAGGAGAGAGGAACAGGAAGAGAGCGCGTACAACTCGACCTGATCTCGGCGTGCTCTCACCTGTCTCAATCCTGCCTGACCGGTATGGAGGAGGGGCTACCTGTCTGTGCGCGTGTCGCTGCTGTGGTGACAACCGGGGCTCGTTCAGTATGCTCGCGATTGATCCATTCATCGGCTGGCCGTTAAAATGTCCCTTCGTGTCAAATCAGACGACAAGAAGAACCGCATGTGTGACAATAGTTGCCTGCTGAGCAGAGACACAACGTTTCCTTTCACGGGGACGGACGCGTCCCTGCGTTTGACTTTCTGTGATAAGTCCGATCAGCGGGGGCTGAACTAGCGGAGGCGTTACTTTCTCAAAGCCCAAGTTTGCGTTATTCTGCTGTCGGAAGTGGCGTAAAATAAGAAATAACTTTTCAGGACAGGCCAGAACTGGACTTTGTATCTAATCTCAGACTTTTGAGGAACATCTGGGAAACAAAGGCGCACCACGTCATTCCAAAAGCCCTTTACTCCGTCACCGGTTTGAGCAAAATCTCTTCCGGTCCCGGAAAGAAAAAGAAACCTTGTGTTTAGACGAACCACTGAAACAAACACGCCGAGCCCCAGATGTGTACTCGCTGGGCGCGGGGGGGGGGGGGGGGGGTACCGGTGGAGGGGAAGACCTCCCCCCCGCCGCCCATTTTCCACTCCTTTGACCTCCAACACACGGGAAGAATCCCACCCTTCGTCACGCCCGCTAGGGACGCTAATGTGATGACTAAACACTTTTTTTTTTATGCGTGCGAAGCAATAAAAACACCGATTTCAGAAAACTCTCAATATGATCACAAGAATCTGAAGCTCGCCATTATTGAGCGGAGGTGGAGGCCCCTTGTTTGACAGAGTTAATTATAAACCTGAGGCGTAAAAAAAAAGAAAAAAAGAAAAAAGAAAAGCAACGGACACGTTGGCTCAAAGAACAAGCTGGCTGTGGTTTTTTATAATCTCAACAGGCCGAAAGGTTCATTGTGTGATATCGTAGTTTCGCTGCAGCTGGATAAAGATGGCCGCCGAGTGCAATGAGTCAGTCACGTCACATTCTACAGACAGCATCAGATAACAGCAGCGTTCCGCCCTGATGTGGACAACCAGACAACAAATGGGACAATCTGAGACTATGAGTCAGGAGGACATTTAAATTAAATCCCATTCCGTTATGAAATGTGCACAAAGAGTTCAGGGTTAATCGGTCTGGATCCCGTAGCCGTGTGCAAACAGCGGTCGTGCTCTCAGTCCTCAGACAAAGTGACTCCCTGACTATTCGGTTGAAAGAAACCGAGCTTTAGAACCAAAGGACAGACATGTTTTTCTGCACTAAACATGAGCCGAACGTCGACGCAGCGCTCCGCCAAAGTACAGCCTCAAACCGAAAATAACGGATTTTCATCCTAAAAACCAGAGGAAGATCTTTAAGCATGACGAGGTCCTTCAGGTGCTCTCAGGACACACAGCTCAGACACAATGAAAATCTTTGTCCTTTGTAAGATTTCTCACAGCAACGTTTCAGGCGAGTTGTTTACGGTCAGACCGTTACCGCTTCCTCCTCCTCCTCCTCCTCCTCCACCCTCACCTCCTTCTCCTCCTTCTCCTTTTACCCGTTTGGGTCGTTGAAACCTCACTTCCATCTCCCACTGGGTCTCCTACGCCGAACAAAACACGTGCGGCCTGTCGGGTTTCACTTGAAAGGCGGGTTCTTAATTCAAACGGAAACTCCAAAACAATCACAGCTTTCTCCAAACCCGCCCCCTCCCCCCTCCTCCTCCCCCCCGGATGGTTATCCAACACCGGGCAGGGTGTTCCGCCGTCCAGAAGAAACCGGAGCTCCTCCTGCCGAAATGACCTGTAATCCGAGCAGCCGTGGTGTTTCTCTCCGAGCGCTGGAGAGAGCAAAGAACCATCGGGGAGAGGCCTCACCTGCAGCGCTCCTCCCCCCACCCGACCTTTGCCCACCCAGTGGCCTGTGGTAAACGGGAAGGTGGAGCGGCACCGCCTCCGTGAGTACCCCCCCCCCCACCCCCCTCGTGATTAGGTATCAGAAGGGCAAAGACGACGGAGAGACGATGATTAGCCAGTTCCGGATTTTTTAAAACATCCAATGGAACATTTAAAGTGAGACGTCATCCAACCCCTTCTTCTCTTTAATGCACCGATTATTCAGCTGAACTTATTATAGCAAATCTCATTAGTCCTCAGTAAATACATTTCTTCAATCATGGAATATTTATGGAGCTGCAAACTCTTTATTTTTAGCAGTAGAACTACACTTAAAAACGCAGGCTCAGCCCGGCTTCCTTTTTTTAAGTTGAATATTACCGACACATTCATATAGAAAATAAACACTAGTGGAGACACCATATTCATGCTTTGGTATAACAATCTCCTTCTGCAGGAGTATCCAGCCCTACACACCACATTCTAGTTCGGCTCCCTGGAAACAAACTACTTACTCACTTTCTCAACAGAAATATCTAAAGAGAACAACGATGCAGATATGATTCCCTTCAATAGCAAGTTAATTAAAAGCGTTTGGACTTAAACACACGGACGTCCAGAGGCTCAACAGTGTGTTGTCCTCCGTCCACTTACAGGCACCACCAGCAGAGGTGGTGGAGTAGAAGGTGGAGGCTCCGGGGGCAGAGCGCCAAAGTGCTTCAACATTTTCATCCGCTGCTTCAGATTCATGACGCTGTGGATTTCTTCTTCTGCTGCTGCTGCCGAAAAACCCCACAAACAAGAACAGGCCTCGGACCTCGGACGCTTTTATCGGTTCCTCACGCAGACAAAAACCCCCACCAATAATCCACCTAAAGAGGCCACAGCAGCTCGGAAGTGTTCAGCTTAAATATCTAGAAAATGTGGGGGGAAAAAAGGGCACGTTCCTCCGCTGCCAACGAGGCGGATCCTCGGCGATTCCCTCTCTGACGGAGTAGAAGGTGGCAGCCGGCTCCCGCCGTCAGAGGAATGCCAGTTTCTCTCGGTTTTAGGCCGGTAGTCTTTTCCCACGAGCCACCGGATCCCTGAGTTTCAGTCTGCTGCTGCCATGGTTACGTCGGGGGAATGAGAGCGCCGGGCCGTTAATAATTGACGGGTGTGTTTGCTGCACTCTGGGTCTGCTGGCACCAGAAGAAAAAAAAAAAAACAGAAGGTCCCCGGGTTCTTGCACGGGGCCCAAAGCTGCAACCTGCTTATTTTTTAATTCTTCTTCTTAGCTTTGACTGATTGTCAGGGCTAGAACCCCGGCGACTCCTGCTCAGCTACGGAGACGAACGCGTCGGGTCGCGGAGGAGAGGCCTGTGACCCGTCCGGGTGGGGGTTGTTGTGGAGAGCAAGCAGCGCGGTAACAACTCGGGCCGGTCAGGTGGAACCGCTGGCCCCTCTGGGGCGAGTCCAGAACACCTGAGCTGAATTATTTATTATTGAAAGCTCTGGAGAAAAGCGAGCAGCCGCTACTGTCACCAAAGCAAACACTCAACTTGAGGCGCGCCTCCTCCGGCAGGTAAACCGCCACCGGTTCCTCAGCCGCTCCAGCGGGTCCACTTCAGGGTCGCAGGCTTTTATTCATTCATCCAAAAGCTCATTTATAAAGAGTGAACGTTTCGGCCACAGGGACCTTTCTCCGTCCGCGTCACAGGAGGATAAAGCGAGGGATCAGTACGGATTCAACTGCTCTCAGGGTCAACTCGAGCTGATTCATCGATTCATCGAATTAATCAGCAACTAATGGCATTGGGGCGAAAATGATCTCGTTCCAGCTTCTTAAATACGGATTTGTTCTGGCTTCTTTACCCCTGTGACAGCGAGTTATCCATCAGATAAAACCAGCGGAAATAATCGACGAAAGAAAAATCATTTTGAAGAAACAAAAAAAAAAAATCAAACAGATCTTCCCGTTTCCACCTGCAGCCAACGAGGACACGAGACCTTCTTCCACAGCGTCACATAGATGGAATTCTTTCCCCGCGGATCCAGCTGGTTAATATTTACGACCTGGGGGGGACGGGGAGTCTTTGGTCGGCTTCAACCAGCAACCTTCTGCGGTTGATGAGGAAACGGCAGAGAAACTAACCCCCTCAAGCAAGTACAGCGATTTGAAATGCAAATACGCAGTGACACAGCCGGGTCGGAGCTCTGGAGCTTCTACTCACAGCGGAGTTTCTCATTGACATCCACAGTCAACAGTGTTTGAGAAGTGCAAACACACACTACCTGGACTCATGCAGAGACCTTCACCGCACACACGCACATACACACACCTAATAGATGCATTTAGATGCCACATTCTTTCAAATCAATTACAAAAAGAACCACAATCGGAACGTTTGAACACGTGTTAATGAATTAGGGTTAAAGAGCTGCAGAGAACCATCACGTCACGGTTTGCTCGGTTCTCTAAAACATGCCGCTCTTCAAGGAGAAACTGTTTGGGAATGCAAAAAGGCGAAACTTGTTGTGGAACTCTACGGCAGGCAGGTAGAAACTTGCTCATGTGGCAGAACCAGTAAGGCGAGGATGAGGACAGTGGGGTTACAGCTGACACACACACACACACACACACACACACACACACACACACACACACACACACACACACACACAGTGACAGCAGGCTGTACTGTACGTAAACATCACGTGATGACGGAATCCATTAATCAGAAACCAACATATATTGATTGAGCATTGCCTTTCACGGCCATTGTGCTTTGTTTTATTTCTATCCTCTGCATGCTTTAATAAGCTACGTTTAGCTTTGACACATTCTTTGCTATAAGCATTCTCGCTCGTCTCTGACTTATTTTTTATAAATAATATAACGTTATTAGCTAAATAACGTTTTGCTAGACTTATTTCATGAAAAGGTGCTATAAATGTAAATAAAGTTGTAGTAGCTCTGTCGGCTAAACAGCTAAGCTAAGTAGCTAACGGCTAACATCTCTACTACTGGGGTTATGACGCAGGAAAATAATGTTATTATTAAAGTAACTTTAGTCAAATGTTTTACTTTGTCTTCTAATTCCGTGTCCGCTGGTCGGACTGTTGCTGAGGGCTTACAGGCCCACACGGAAACATTAGACAGCGGTGAAGCTAACGTTAGTAGACAGCCGTCAAGCTAACGTACCTGTAACGTCACACCTCTACACTTCCGCTTTGGAGATGAAACTGTGTCTGTTGGTCCAAGGTTAAAAAAAAAAAACTCTACCAACGCTGTCTTCTTAAAGTGTCTTTCGCTCGCGTTGACTGTTTCAGCTGTTCGTAAAAACGTCCCTTTATAACTTCCTGACGACAGGTGAGGACTGCGGGAGGCGAGGCGCCCGACGTACAGGTGAGTTTCGAGACGTCATCACGCAGTGTAGCGTCAGAGACCGGAAGTAAGTTAACCATCCACCTAGTTTTGGTTGCGATAAGAGAGGCTGTTCTCTTTTTTTTTTTTTTACAGTGTATTAAATGCTGACTGATTGTGAACACAAAACCTTACGTAACAAAAAAACCTCAAAGTGTGATACTGTTGTTATTATTATTAGAAAATACCAATAATTAATATGAATGTTAAAAAGATAACAAACGATTATAATAAAAGTTGAAATTCTTGATAAAAATGTCAAAAAATTGAAGGTGTAAATGATCCCAAAACAAATTAAACCAGAACTTACCTTCAAGTTGTGTAATTTAATTTTCCGCCCACTTTTCCTTCATCAATACTGTTGAAAAATTAATCCAAAATATTTTGGTGTTCATAAATAAATCTGATATTAAATTCTAAACCTCCGTTTATTGGGTAAGATTATCCAAATTTACACCTTAATTCTGGCTGGTTTTGCTATGAAAAGAAAAAAGAAAGCAATGAACAGCCACAACTTTACAAATGATTTTGTAACACTGCTGTGTGTGATGATGGGAACATAGACTTACTGTATAGTGGAGGAGAGGAAATACATTTATTCATGTCATTATTTGGGCACAATTTGTATTTGTGCTGCTGTAGATTTTACCAGTTACCAGATGAGTTATTTAATAATCCACCCGTGACTGTGTGACGTTGTGATATCCAGATGTTATGTGATGCTGCAGAAACTTGTTCTGTCCATATTGTGTGTAAAGTTAACGTTTGTGATGCTGACCGACGGTTCTCCCGTCATCTTTTACTTTACTCTTTACTTCCTGAAACGTAACTCTTCTGCATAAATGAGTGATGATCCAGATGTTGCTTTGAAGCCTTCTTCCAAAACCGGACAATGAACCAAAGACTCGGTTTCAGCAATCTTCAAGTTTTTATTTGTTTACAAAGTAAAAGATTGCAATTTCATATAGTCCTTCCTTTAATGAGTAGAAAACCTTTTTAAAGAATTAGTCGAAAGGCACAAATTTTACAATATATACATTTGGATCTAAATTATAAATATATAGAAAACAAAAGCACAACCCAGAATAAAAGTGCTGAACACAGTTTTTTTTTTTAATCTTTTTTTTTACAGAAAAAATAGGCTTTGTTTAAAAATACATACAATCAGTAGCATGTTTTTTGTTTCATTTTTTGTTAGCAATAAATTATTTTGGAGAGTGATAACATGAATGTAATATGGTGAAGAAACGAGGGAGATGGTTACATTTTGCACGGAGCCATCAAAGATCAGAAAAACCACAAGCTCAATCAATCATAACCCACAACAGAACAGTAACTTGATTATGCCATTCTTAGTGCAAAATGATAATGAAACGATCGACGAACACCAATCAACCTCAGGGAACAAAACAAAGCTCGCTCTTCCTAAGAACGCGGTCCGTGTCCCTCAAATGCATAAAGCTTTATTCCTGTGACTGTGTGACAAAATCAAAGGCAAACCTTTTGCAGACTGACGTCTCGGAATATCAAACGCAACGTTAACGAGGGTACCAGGGAAACGTGTGAGAAGAAGCCGCAGAGAAAAGAAAGGAAGAGAAAGAAAAAGCGTTTTGAGATCCGAATCTGAGATCCTGTGTCTGGGGGGCGGCGTGGCGGCTCGTATTGGGGGCGGTGGGGGGCCACGCCAACTCACTAAGAAAATAAATAACGTTTCTCAACAAAGGAAACAGCCGTTGATCTTTGCCCTAAGAAGGCATAAACGTTTAAAACCAGCCATCACATTGAGTCTAGAACATAAATACAGCGAGAGTCACAGCAGAGAGTTAAGAACAGAGGAGCACACGTACTGCTTTAGTTTCACCACGGCCACATCACGGGACCCCCCCCCCGCTGCGCCCCCCGCCCCCCCGTTACACCTCCTGCGGGGTTCTTCCTGAGATTGACGAAAGGTCGGATATCTTGGATGCCGGTAACTCTGTGGAACACTTTGGTATCTCTCTGCGAACCCGAGGCCTGACAAAGAAAAGCTCCACCAGTCGGAGAAACAATTCCACGCGAGGAAAGCAAAAACTGAAATGAGCAGAAAGAATCCAGACGCCGTACAGCGGTACAGAACAGTGCAATCGTATTTGGTGGCAGATTATAATAGAATTTGCTTTATAGTAATCTTGAAAACTAGAAACTTCCCTGACCAAAACATTTTGTTCACTACACTAATAAGCAGGATAACATGTCTAAAATCTAAAATATCCCTTAAATATAAATAACAATAACTTTTATAATAACGATGACTAAAACACCAAAAGTCCCGTGAAAACGTACTGTACAAAAAGGTCTCACAATGCGCTGAACTAAAAGAAGAAACAGAAATAAGGAGATTCATACCATGCAGAGGGAACCACGTAAACATTTCTGTCTCACAACAGGTGGAATATGGTTTTATTGCTTTTTGTGAACTTCATCCCGGCGTGTTTGCGTGTGGTTTTCACACACAGATGGCCGGATCTCGGAGATCTTGTTGTTTTTATAATATGTGCGATCCTACGCAGTGAGCGTCAAATTGTATTTTGAAGTCTTGATGCAAGAAATGGAAAGATTTCTTTTTTTTTGTGTGTCTCAGACGCCGTTTTTGTTTTTTCAGCCATCAAAACAATAAAAACCTTGGAATTCTTTGTCATCCACCATTTCTTTAAAAAAAAAAAGTACTTTTCCATATGTTTGGTGGTCAAAAGTGGCAAAAAGCACTGCAGACTTTCCTGAGAAAACCACGATCCAGGAGCCACATCGTTGAATGTTATTGTCAGCTTCTAAAAAAATGAAAATAAAATGGGTGATAACATTTTTGGACACATCTCTCTTTAATCCTCTCCGTACTGACCATGTCGCACACTGCCGCATCAACGGGGACAGAAGGACCCGGACAGAACCAAAAATAAAAAAGGACCAATCACACGAGCACATACGGGCTTAATGGGGGCTTCTTCCTGAAGTCCACCACCAGCATAGTGTAACACAAACAACGACGGGAGGAGGAGCTAAACGTTAAATACAAATATACCGTGTTTAAATTAAAATGGAAACCAGCGCTCAAGAGTTCACGTCTGTACATTAGGCTACATGGACTTCTTAAAGACTGCATTTATAGATTTCTCCAAAAGGCACTGTTTGCAACAGCAGACTGCTCTTCCTCTCCCTTTTTCCTCACACTAGTGTTCATACACGCAGGGAGGGAAACAAGAGGGAGCATGAACAACAACAACAACAACAACAACCAAAGAAGAAGAAGAAGAAGAAGAAAACTGAGGCATTTCATGGCTTATCAGCTAAAAGGATTTCTTCTGGGTTTTTCCTTTTTTTTTCCCCCCTCTCCTCATCTTCTAGTCCGACGCCATCTTTTGTTTCAGCCTTGCATACAGCCTCGTTTTAGTCAAGACGGACGGCCGTGAAGCGCAAGTAAAAGCAAAGGAAAGTCTAAAAGATGTGGGGGGTGGGGGCAGGGTTGTTTTCTTTAAACTGGTGAAAGGCATTCAGAGCTTCCAGCAACTTCACCAATCATACCTCGTAAAATCAGCAGCGGGAGGTTTGTTATAACGATTTCCACACCTCCGTCAGTGAGCGTTTGTTTCGGACAGCTCGTATGTTCAAATATCGCGCGCGTTTGTTGCTTTGTTTGACAGCTGCCGTTCACTGTGGAGGACGCACGTTGGTGCAGAAGTCGGACGCGGCGGAGCCCGCTGTCGCCTTGAAACCGCCTCGAGCGGGTGAACGCTACAGGTGGATGAAGAGGGAGGAGCCGAGCGCAGGACAGGCAGTGACGTGACTATAGGCCCTGAGGGGGGGGGAGGAAGGAGGGGGTAAGGAGGGGGGGGGTAGGTCCGAGGTTTGCGATCCTAAGACAGCAGCGAACGTGACAATATCTGCTTTAAAATGATGAAGAGGATAAAAGGCGAGCTCTCAGTCCTGCGGCCGGTACTTGATGACGGACCCGCGGTCCGGCCCGTGCAGCATGCTGTTCAGGGCCTCGCGGACGTCCAGGGCGGCGGGGTGCCCGTTGGGTAAAGGCAGCGAGTCCGACTGGGGGAGGACATAGTTGGAGAAGCAAGGGGACGAGTTGGAGAACAGGGAGGAAGACGAGGACGGGCTGGAGAACAGGGAGGACGAGGAGGATGTCGGGGGGAGGCCGGACGACGCCAGGAGGCCGGCGGGGACGTGCGCCGCCAGGCTGTTCGAGGTGGAGGACGCGGAGGAGGAGCAGGAGGAGGTAGAGGACGAAGGGCTGGCTTTCTGTGTGGACATCTGGGGGGACAGGGGCAAGTCCAACAAGTCGAATAACTCCTGGTGGTGGTTGCTGGTCAGCAGGTTGTGGTTCTGCTGCAGCAGGAGAGGCTGCTGGGTCAGCGCGGCGCGCTGGGCGTTGGGCGCGGCCTGAGCGATCAGCGACTCCAGGTTAAAGTCCTCCACCCCGTACGCCGCCGAGTGTCCCGCCAGGCCGTCCAGGCTCAGCCCCACCTCCGTGCTGTCCGGCGACGGGGACGGCGAGCTCGCTGTCAGGTCCAGGATCTCGTCCAGGGGATTGTTGGCGGACGCGCCGAGAGACGGCGCGGTCGGACGCAGCGGAAGCGACGGGCTCTTCATCTGCTGGAAATGCGACGAGAAGGATTGTGGGTAAAACTGGGAGAAATTGGAGCGGATGCTGGCCGTGTTGGGGACGGCGCCCGGGTTGCCGTGCCAGCCGCCGTGGGTCCTCTGCTGCGTCGGACCGGGGTTCCTCTGCAGGGACAGCAGGGGGACGTTCTGCTGCAGGGACGCCTGCAGCCGCTGCAGCTCGCTCCCCGGCGGCGCCCTCTGCAGGGCGCTTTGGCTCGGCTTCTGTTTCTGGCTCTGGGCGAGCGACTGGTTGAGCATCGGCTTCTGGTTGAACAGGTTGGCCAGCAGGTGCTTGTTGTCATGCTCCATCTTGTGCGCGCGCTCGGCCGCCAGCCGCTGCTCGACGGCCTGCTGCTCGCGCTCCTTCCGTCTCCTCTTCACCTCCTCGTCCATCTGCAGCAGCTCCTCGCGCACGCGGGCCACGCAGTTCTCCGGGATCTTGATACCTGGAAGTAGATGAGAACGGCCGTGAAGTGACTGTTGGGCTTCTGCAGATGCAACAATTTAGGCGTTTCTTAACCGCCAGGGTCACCGTGGAGCTCACAGGAGTTTCATAAGAAACAGCAGATGAGGAATGTCAGCTACATTTTCATTTCCTCATTTTGTCTCAAGTGACAGCATTGCGTTTTTATCATCAAAACAACTGACATCTGGTTCATTCGTTTTAAAAACTGGTCTATGTGTTGTTCACGGGACATTTCCAGCCGTGTTCTAAACAGTGAAATAAGCGCGCTGCATTTAACTTGAGAAGGAGGGGGGGTTGTACTGACCGACTTGCTTGTTATGATGTTTGGTTTTAAGGCGGACGATCTGCAGGATGCTGGAGCTGGTGAGGTCAGACACCACGTCGGATACGCGCTTCCACACCCTCAACAGGGCGCCGCACAGCATGTGGTACTGACGGAGGCGCATGCCCTGCAGACACTCCTGACCTTCCTCGATCTTCTTGCACTTCCCATTCCTGGGGTTGCAAGAAAAGGACAGGAAAAGAAGAAAATTTAATGATTTATGCAGCTGCACAAAAAAGAGAATAAAAAGGCCCACAATTTTTCCGTGTATTCCTCTTTCAAGAGGGCGGCATCGGAGAAGCTCCATCAGATCCTCCATCCTAGCAGAACACAGTCCGCTCCACGTTTTTGTGACTTGTTCGCAGGCGATCTGCAAATCCCCGGGAATGGCATCCGGCCTTTAATCCACGCTGGCTGAATGCTAGTAAGTAGCATTCTGATTGGACGTGTTGAGTCGGTAATCTGGCGGAGGTGGAGAGGGGCGGGGGCACACGGTGGTTACCTACTTACCAGTTGGCATGGCTGCACTTCTTGAAGGAGAAGGTGAACTGGTTCTCCCAGCTGTCCCTCGCTTCCTCGGGCGTCACCTGGATAAAAGAAACATGTGATTTATATTCAAATTTTTCATTTTGTTTATTCAAATACGTATTTATATGTTTATGTATTCATACTATTCATTCATACGACAACTTAAAGTAGCATCAATATTTTCTATATGCTGTTTTGTTATTTAAATAAAATAAAATAAAAAATGTTTAGTGTGTTTAGTGAGGTTGTAGTTATCGTCACCTTGATGAAACAGGTTGAGCTTTAATGAACGAAATCCTCCGCATGACTATATTATCTTTTTTAATTGGTACGCTGATGATTCTTTGTCAATGACTCCTTCATGGCCACGAGGGGGCGTCAGACTCCACATATTACGGTACACTCCAAAGAGTAACTGGAGAAAAAGTCTGATCTACTACAAAATGGAATTCTCGTTTCTGTTATTTAATTAAAAGTGAACCAGACAGATTTTAAAACCATCAGGGATTCATAGTGAAACACAGATTTGACCACAGAGAGACGGGGTAATTACCTTGCGGTAGCGCAGCTGCAGGTTGTCCAGGCTCTCGGGGTGCGTCTGCTTGCCGATGTTGGGCTTGTAGACGATGAGGTTCTTGCCTCGTCCTTGCTCGGCCAGCAGCACGCACGGGTGGTTTCCTCGCAGCTGTGGAGAGGCGACGAGAATTATGAGAGAATTATGCAACCCGCCTTGTGTCTCAGCGGACACAGAATAATAATAATAATAATACGCTTTTATGGGTACTCAAAGATGCTTTACAATGTAAATCTAGTAAGAGAAATGTACAGATAAGAGAAACAGACAAAGTTTCACTCAGCGAGGTATTAATGATATAATATGATACTGGACTGACCTTCAGGGAAAGGTAGAATCCCTCATCGGAGCCGCTGAGCTTTAGTGACCTGTTGAAGGCCTCGTCCCAGGGCATGCCTCGGTCCACACTGATCTACAGGGGCAGAGAAGGACCAGACACTGTGAAAGAGGCGGGGCCAAGCCGCACATTCCGTCCATCACAAGCTGCGTTTCAACCGAGAGGCTTGTGGTCTTTTGAGTCGCAGGTCTCTCTCTCAGAGGAGCTAAAAGCTTCCTTCGGCCCATCGTTGCCTCCCTCGCGGCCTAAAGACCTGCAGGATCAGGTAGATGAGAGGCAACATGACATGGGAGGTGCTGGTCACCTGACCTGCAGGTCAGCGTGCCCGCCAGATTCCTCTATAAAAGGTTAGAAAAACAGCCCCGTTTGGTCGCGCGTCACTGAGACAAGATTTACCGCTGCAGAGTGTTTAGTGGACGGAACGAATGAGACGCAGAAGAGGGAAACGATAATGAGGAATATTTTGCTTTCATCCACGAGGCTGCTCCCCTCTCCCTCTAAACGGGCTGAACGGGTCCGAGCCGTGCCGCATTCTCGGCTTTGAAATGTCAAATGCAGGTTGGCCTTCAGCCGCCGACTGAAAGCAGAAGCTATCGCTGATTTCCCTGTTCCCACCACCCCCCCCCAGCTCCGGGCTAAGTATGATAACAGTCTTAATGCTGGCAAAGTGACATCGATCACCATGAGGTGCAGAAGTCGTTCCTCGAGTTAGCTCAGAGACGGCGGGTCGTGTGGAACAAATCTCACAGTTGCATCAGGTCTCTTTGTTATGCAGAAACTGTGCACCGTGCAAAGCTTGTCATGGAAATTGTCATTGGTATTTGCGGCTTAATCTGTGAAAATTGCTTCGCTGCCATTAAACGTGAACTTCTTCACTCCTCTGGTCCGCCGGGAGTCTACGAGCCCGACTGGATTTAACTCAGAGAGAGGAGAAGATTTGCATTTCTTTCTTCTTTTCAGGATGCATGGATGTTCATGGGATCACTTCTGGTGGGTGGCGTGTAATGTTCTTCTAATGCCCCCCCCCACACACACACACACTTCTCACTTTGGCTCCTCTAAAACCAGGTGGGGGCGCTACGACGTACCTTGTAGAGAACAACCTGTCCGTCCTGAGGATTTCCAACCGTCAAGAATATCTCCTGCTTCTCCTCGTAGATCTCGTCGTTACCCGGAGCCAGATCTGCCAGACGCAAGAGGGACAAATGAATTCACATTTGAAAGGCCAGTAGCGTTTTACTCAACATAATTAAAACTAGCAGACTCTGTTATACTTAAGATTTGTTTGAAAGTTTTGATCAACACTCGTACCGAGGATTCCCATGTCATATTTTCCCTCCTTCTTGTCCTTCTCGATCAGGTAGTCAAAGTTGTCCGTGAAATACTGGAACAGAAAGTTCTGCTTGTGGACCTCCAGGCCCAGGATGCGATTTAAGAACTTTGTAATGCTGCAGTCTGGGATAAAAGAACAAAACACACTAAGCTCAGGTTTTACGTTGACATGTGAACAAAGAACATATTTATATATATATATGTACATATATTCATATATTTTCATCTTAAAGGGATGCTTTGGTTGTATGCGGTATCCATAGTTAGTGTATAAACTACTACATGTCGGTGCAACCCAACCTCAAAACAGCCAGACTGTCCCTTTAAGTGTACCGGCCTCTTGGGTACTCTACCTTTCTCAGTATTGATCCCAAAGCGCGACTCCCTACAGAAGATGCCCACATCCATCATTCCGATCTTCATGTCTGAAAAACAGAAGAACAAGCGTTTGTTTTCACGGCTCCATGTTCTCCTGGAAGAGATCCACCAAGGCTGAAACATACCTCTGAAGAACATGGCTTCGCCCACAGGGTAGCCTTTGGGAGGGGGCACCTTGTTTTCTATGTGGCCGAGGATTGCTTTGGTGATCTTATCGAGAGCCTTGGTACCGTACTGCGAGAAAAAGGGAGGACGTCAAATCGTTAAAAGATAAATTCCCTCGCGCGGCTCATACAGCAAGAGACGGATAGAGCGGCTGCAGGCTGTTGAGCGGGATCAAAGCCTTTGAAGTAAAACATTAAATGATGTTTATATGCTTTAAATGTCAGAATTGGATTTTGAAAGGTTGCCTACCTTGTTCTCAAAGTTGTATTTGCTGAGGTCCCTGGATTCTGTGGCTCTTCTGTCTCCGTGGGTCAGCGCACCCTGCAGAGTGGATTAGCACCAGGGTTATTAGCGGTATTAACGGTAGCGAGGTTCAAAGCGTTTCATAGGTCCCGCTTTATTATATATTTCACATGATTGTGGGGTGTTTGTTATTGCATCAACTTTTTCCTCAATTTGGCCAAATACAGAAATCCTTCAAAATAAGACAAGATAATAGTGTGAATGTTTTCCATTAAAGCACCATGTTAAATTAGTTGAGGGAAAATCCTTTACTTAAGTAAAAGTACTGATATCAGATGCAAATATTCAAGTAAAGTAATACATTGAAATACTTCCTTGAATGTATACCCTTACACACACATAAACACACACGACACGGTGTGAGTCTGCTCTCTGCACGAGCTATTGAGATGAAACAGCTGAGGTGGAGGCGGAGTTTGAACAGCCACTTTAAATTGCAACGCCGGGTTCGCGTAAAATGTTTTCCGTATCATTTCAAATGAACTGCCAGGGAGGTGAAGGAACATTTTGAGACTTGTTGTCACTTCCCGGGCTCTGCCTTAAGATACCAAAACAAAAGGCATGTCTCAGCCAAATGTGACTTGACGGCTGATCTGGAGTCAAGAGGGTTGCAATGGTATTCAGCAGGCTAACGTGTGTGTGTGTTTCAGTCACACGGGCTAACAAGACGGGACCTATTTGTGATGCAGATTCACTAAACACTATACGATAGTTCTCCTTCAGCCCAAGGAACTGTCACGCTGTGTCACTATGGAAATAATTGACTGCTTCAGCCTTTGATAACTGTGTAAAATGAACGTTGCGTTATTAATTATCCACACTCGTGCGGTTTCCAGTTGTTGTGCTGGGGAGGGGAAAAAAAAGTTGATGTACTGTAACAGACGCAGAGGGCGAGGGGGCGGGACGAGGAGGCGGGCAGAGGAGGCGGAGCTGCTGTGAAAATCAATAAACGCGACACCCTCATCAACTCTCCGTTTACCGTTGGACGATTCTTCTCACCGAAGGACAACCGGATGAAAAGGTCTCCTTTCCCACGAGGTTTATCTCAGTTAAAAAGGTATCGGTGGAAAAAGATTGGGAGACCAATGCAACGCGCACACACGGTACACGGTATGAGGTTATGATAATTACCAGGCTCTCTAGTCTTTTAGCCACGATGGAGGCGAAGCGTCTCTCCCCAGCCAGCTCCGAGATGAGGAAGATGTACTCCGGGGCCGTCACCTGATTGGACCGATGTGTGCGACCTGGAATGACACGAGACACAATTGATCCACCGTCGTGTCCGACATTCACTACGTGAGAACCTCTCCAGCCACCTCAGAGCTGAGCTGCTGCCTCCCCGTGTACCATCTATGATTATGTTTAACACAAGCAGATTTCCTTAATCGTCAGGCACTTTATATGTGGGCGCGGTCGACATTTATCCCGCTTATTACTGATGCAGACGTATAAAAATCCCCCGGCACGGCGCGCCTCCTGGGTGAACTATTATTTTCTTTGCTAGTATGTGAAAAAACACACACACACGCACACCACAACTGCTGTTTTTAGAGCGTATTTCCTGACTCACCAAATTGCTGAATGGCCCTGTCTGCACTCCAAGGAAGCTCCAAGGTCATGTGGACCCTGCGGCGCTGGTTCTTCACTCGCTTGTCCGCCTGCAGGGAAATCCCTGAGCTGGCCGCCTCTGAGATGATGGCCACGAACTGGAGGAGAGAGGTGGAGATCTCGTTGATGCTTTATAAGAGCGGAGACGTTTCATTGAGATGCAGATTGCTTCCAGCTCTCCGTGGGCAGGGAGGCGGAATCTGACCTTCTCCGCGCCCATGAAGCGATCCTTCTCCTTGATGTTGATGTGGTCGATGGTGAGGCCCTGCTCGGCCCGGGACTCGTAACGGACGCTGCCGTCGGGACGCCGCACCACCCGACCCTTACGACCGGTCATCTGCAAAAGAGCAAATATTTAGTGACAGAGTCGCCTTTTGGCTCATGAATGTGTACGGTGGCTGTGGCGTTTCTGGCTCAGTGTCTTCAACACGTACCTCTGAGACTTTGTCCGGTCCTCCAAACTTATCGATGAGCTCGTCCAACGTATTGAGAGGTAGTTCTTTTCCCAGCACAGCTATTTTGCTGAGGAGGCTCTGCTTCATCTCCTCTACCCGGGCTGTGAACGGGAAGTGGAAGGGACGGTGAACTTGTGACCGCGTATAGGAAGGAATACCAGATATAGCTGTATATATATGCTATATATATTTACAGTTTCATCTTAAATTGTATTTATTTTTACCTATGAGGCACGAATTCAAGAGAAAAACAAACAACAACAGGGTTGTTTCCCTGTCTAGACGTGCACCGCTCTGATTGACGCCGGCCGAAGGACTCCACCCTACCTGTCTGGCAGCTGGTGTGGTTGACAAAGATGACGTCATCGTTGTCCAGCAGAGAGTCCGGGGAGGAGTTGGAGTCGGTGTCCATGCCGTCCGAGTCGCTGCTGCTGTCATCGCTGATGTTGATCACGCCGCCGCTGTCCACCGAGTGCTTCGGCACCTTCGGCTGCCGACCTCTTGGCTTCCCTGATCGGTCAGAACAGACGCTATTTTAGAATACGTACAAACGGCACTCCGTTAGCGCTGTCGGCTGAGCGCCCGGGCTGCATGCGGTCCGAGCGACCGGCCTTCACTTACGTTTCCGCTTGTTCCCCGGGGCTTTCTCTCTCCTCTGTTTCTCTGAGGGGAAATGCTTCGTTACGAGGGACTGGAATACTCCCCTGAAAGGGAAGAGGGAGAGAGGAGGACACTTACATTCCAGCAGTTCAAGCGTTTTACGACAACGCGCGGCAGTTGAGACTGCCGATATGTTGCTGATTTCAACCATCAAGTATCAACAGGCAGATGGACGTGTGTGTGATCTAATACACCTCAGACAGGCAGGCGTGAGGTTCGGAGTCGAGCCATTTGAGAGCACTGCGCAGCTGCACCCTCACTTTCCTGTTTTTCTTGCTTTCAAACCGAATGGCTGATAATAACTGAAGAGATTGTTGAGATTAATGGAGCATGAATAGTAAGGATTGTGACCTGAATACCTGAGAATGCAGAGAGTGTGTGTGTGTGTGTGTTCCTCCTCGTGAGGCAGCTTGATCAAGCAACTAAATGAAACGGAAGAAAAACCACAGACTGCTGAGGCCTCCAGCCGACAGACAGGAACCCAAGACAAAAGCCCTGGGAAAGGCATTTTGACATTTTTGTGAATATTCTTTCAAATGAACCAGCGGCGAGCTACCGTAGGCACATTTATTTAAATAAAATATTAAAATAGCAGAGTAGCAATGAGTGCCCTTTCATCCATATCCCTCTTTCACAGCCGTCTGCAGCTGCTCAGCCTGTTATTTACGGTACTTGGATTGATTTTCCTTTTTTCCGCCCACCCCCTGCCCTCCTCCTCCAGTTATCGTTGCCCTCTGTATAGAATATTTCAAGCTTATTGCTGAGGAAGAACGATGGGGGAAGTTAAGAAAAGGCCTGACGAACCCTGAAATGAAACCTTTTAATCGAAAATATAAATAATGAAAATGCTTCACTCACTCTGCTGCCGAGACAAATCTGTCGAGATGGCCGTCGTTCTCATCCAGGACTTCTCTGGTCCGGGACTCTCCGGTAGACTGCAGCCCGATGACGATGCACTGTGGTGGAGGTGAACCAAAAACAAATCAGCTCCACTGCGTTTACCTCAACTCGATTCTATTGTGGAGTCACAAGGTCACATGTTAAATCATCCTTGAGGAAATCAGTCAAATTGTGTTTAATAATATAACAAAATAAAGTCTTATGACTGAATGAATTGTAGCACTTTTATTGTACTTATAATGGTTCTTATCTATAGCATCACAATTGTACTTTCTTTTGAATTTGTATCCTTATGGTTGAAATGCACTTATTGATAAAAGGGTCAGCTAAATTTAATGTAATTAATGACCCTCAAACATCCAACAAATAGCCTCAAAACCTCTCCTTTATCTTTATAGAATTCCCCATCCTGCTTGGATCTTCCTCTGCCTCATTTACAGTCCTCTCGCTCGTACGTGCTACACGACTCGGGGTGTGAACGGTGAGTTGTACCTTTCCAGCCAGCAGCTCTTTCTTGGCGAGCTCCACCAGGCAGCGGACCTTGGCAGCGATGCAGAGGTATTTGAAGAAGCGCTGGTGAGACGACCAGAACTGCCCCCACAGAGACTTCCTGCTGACCAGGCCCAGCTCATCAGCCGCACGCATGAACACCTGCAGCGCCTCCGCCCACTGGACGCAGATCACACGTGTGGTTAGTCACTTTGAAATGCCGCGCGCGTGTTTCTTTCAATCTCTAACTCGACTGTGTGAGCTCACCAGTTTGGCAGCTTTGTTGTAGACCAGTTTGAAGTCGCTGTCCAGCCCGATCTCCTCGACGCGGAAAGACACCCCCGAGAAGCTCAGCTGCCGGGCGATGTACATGCCGCTAACCTTCATGTCCATGGCAACAATCTCCATGGCGCCGACGCCCCTGTTGACCAACGGAGAATAGGTTAGTCGAGGGAACTCGATCCCGGAGAGTGTTCGGTATCTTCCAGGCAGCGAGCAGCAAATGCGGGGAAAACATAACACTTTTTGGGGTAAATCCCGCAAAACGCGTCGCGCTACAAACCTCTTCTCGATGGCGTGCAGGAAGTCTTCAAAGGCCCTGAAGGGCGTGCCCTCGCCCCAGATTCCCAGGCGGCTCATGTAGATCATGTTCTTTGGCTCGGAGGCACCTGAGGCAGAGACGACATGCCGATGTAAATCCTGACATCTACGCTTTGCACGGCATCACGCACCTCCACCGAGGCCTTACTGGCGCGTGGGCCTACCTGTGGCACTGGCGTACACCACTCGGGCCCTCGGCAGCTTGTTTTGCAGGTCAAGCACCGCCTTGCCCATCTTGGTAGAAGTGGCATTCTTGGCTTTGTGGCATTCGTCAAAAATAATCTGCAGGAGGGGGGTTAAGGGCAAGCAACGCAGACGTGGAATAACAATCGGGTGTTAGAGAACGAGGCGGATGTGAGGTTGAGGAAATGAAAGGATACAACTCCGTCAAAGTCCGGCCTGCACCAGTCCAGGATCTGTTTGATCCGGGTCCGGTGCTGCCCCCCCGCCTGGCTCTCTCCAATCAGCGCAGAGTAAGTTGCAAACAGAACTCCTTCTGAGGTAGCTGTGTCTCCATACTTAATCTACAAAAACAAGTCACACATTCACAGGTGTATTTGTGAGATGGGAACGTGTCCAAGGCCTCGCTGTCTCTGTTTCTGCTCGGATAGTCACACGGCTCACGGAAAGCTGGACTCACCTTGTTTAAGGCGTGCACGGGGATATTCGGTGCATCTATGTCTTTGAGATCCCTCTCTGCATCAAATTTCAGGTCATTGGATATGCTGAACCTGAACCAGGAGCAAGGAAAGCGTTAGTCAGTCATTCAGAAACAAGCCTCAGCACGCTCGCCGTACCTATGAGCAACAGACTGGAGGCCAAACACAAAGGTACAAAGTACTGAAAGGCCTGATCAAGGTCGTCATATTTTATGACGCCAACACTTCTTCAACACGGCTTCGAAGCGCTCTAACGGTTTACGGCCCTGGGTTAGATCTCTCTCACCATAGTGATTTCTTCCTCCCTTTAAGGTAGTTCTCCAGGATGATTCCTGCCACCGTGCGTCCCTTCCCGACCCCCGCCCCATCTCCGATCAGGAAGCCTGCCCTCTGGTTGTTCTGCAGGATGACCTCGTGTTGCTGAGGACACACAAACACATGAGCGGGGATGAACGGGGATGAACGGGGATGAACGGGGATGCCTGTGCGAGCAAGACATTAAAGATTCATGGAGGCAAAAAGAATAAGTGCTTTGTGTGCTGTGTGTACCTGGCAGGCGTAGATGATGGCCTCGAGCTGCAGAGCGGACAGCAGGCCGCGGTCAATGGTCGGCTCAGGGATGGACAGAGTGTAGGTGATGTCGGGAGGGGGGACACTGGATAGCGTGTTGGTCTCCACCACGATGTCAGGATGAGAAATCCCAATAGTGGCTGTTTGAGGGAGGAGCAAAAAGTAGGGAGAATTTCACTTAATGGCTAAATGCATGAGCGCCGCGGCAGGAGGAAACACTGTGTGTGGACGTTCAGCCTACATTTGGAAGGTCTGTACTCGGCGTATGTGTCTACATGTCCCAGTTCCTCGGTCTCCTCTTCCTCGGCATCCTCTTCCTCCTCTGGGGGTGTCTGGGTTCTCTGAAGCTGGGAACACCAGAGAGACTTCATTCAGAATTAAATCAATGAATATTGGATGTTTCAGCTTAGGTGAGGCGGAGTTAGTAAAAAGAGCATCTAGAGCTTCTTATTAAGGAAATGCAACCAGTGAAACAACGAATGCATTTGAAAGGCGGGTGAAACCGGCAGCAGGAGCTTTGAAACATGTTTGCAACCGTAGGCAGAGGAGTGCTTTACATATTCAGGCCACGATGTTATCTGACTAACTGGAAATGCAAAAGCATTTCGCTTTGACGGACAGGTTGATAACACAGTCTTTGTTCTTTTCAAAAGAGACAATGCGATGTACGGAATAATCCATTCTCTGTGCAACACGCAGCGAGGCTTCACCCGCGGTTCTATAGACGAGCCAGCGTCCGCATTACAATTACAGCAAAGCACGAGCCGCTATCGTCACGCGCTGCACTCAAAGACTCTCGGATTAGTGGCTCCTGGTGTCGCTACGTAAAACAAATCCAAACCTCCACCCTGAGTTGCAAACACAGCTGCACATTAAGACACGGAGTGGAAAGTGAAAATGTGCTGACATCAGGCGCGTCTGATTAGAGAGCTTAGCTTTGGTTTTAACATCAGACCGGAGAGGTTGGAGTGGCTACCTGGAATCCTCCTAAAGGTGGGGTGCTGATAATAGCAGTAATATCATCCAAACTGGCCAAGCCATGAAACCTGCTGGTGCCATTCAGCTGTCGACATGAACAAACACAAAACACAGATGAAAACAGTGGCAAAATTCAGAAGTAAAAAGAAACAAAAAAAACAACACGAGTAATCACTGAATGTATGCACGTGTATATTTTCATATGTATATATATATATATATATATATATGAGCATGTGGGGACTTCATGGATGTCTGATGGCTCAGCACTCAACCAAATGCAATTTGTTGTCTAGCGGTGAAAAGCCAACGAGGGCTGAAGCCGTGTGTATCTGGGAAACATAATGGGTGAAATGAGGGCAGAATGAAAAGGAAAACACAAAAGGCTCTCAGAGGAAAACGAACGCTCTCAGATTCATATCAAAAAGACGCATCTTATTCGAAGAGGACTCAACAGCAGCGAGAGAGCAGGGAGCCAGGATCAACGCTCGGCTACAAAGCTGCTGTTCTCAGATCAGATCCAGGGAGCCCCGTTCAAGAGAAAGTCTTTTTAAAACAATTATTATTACTTGCAGGCTTTCTGTAGCCAAGGATTCTATTTTGTGTCCCAAAATCATATTGTGTGCAAGAACATGTGCGACGAAGCGTTTTTTTTTATCCGCGTGCGACTCTATAAGAGGTCGGTCATGTGGAGCCAATGTGATCGAGCCCCCCGAGGGCATCAGCCTGCTATCTAGAAAGAATACTGGTTGGATTCATTCAACCTATTTGAGTGTTTAAATAAAATGGGAATAAGGGATTTACAAGTTTAAAAAACGATTGTGTGCAAAATAAGTTCAACAGTTCACAGTGTTGTAACTTCCTCAGGTCTCTGTCTGAAGTTCATCGGTGCAATGGATGGTTCTAAAAACGGGGCTAGTCCACATTAAAGAGGGACTAACGTTTTGGAGTCTGTGTGGGAACCTGGTCACATTTTACCAAACGTCGCCGCATTAATCCTTGTAGTTATTGTAATAGTTGTAGTAAAGGTCACAGAAGTGTTATTTGTGTAATAGTTAAACAGATTACTTGCGGACGCAGAGCATTAGCCATGGTTGATATATTCCGTCGCCGTGTAAATACACACTACGAATTTGCTTACTCAGCTACGGCCCTTCCTTATGCACTATCCAATCAAATATTAATGAACAAAAACAAGTGTTTTCACGTGGCTGTGTGGCTGAAACAGAGATGTAACGTTGAGGTCAAACACGCGGCAAGAGGCCCAAAGGAGAGCGGGCGAACGCGACCCGGCGCTCGGCTCCACCTGAGCGGTCGCCGGGGTAACCGGCGGTTCTGGTAGTGACTCCTGTGTGTGCCCTCTGACCTCTAGCTGCCTCTGTGCTGGTACGGTGGTGGTGGTGGTTGGGGGGGCGGCGCTGGTGTTGACGTCCCGCAGGGTGAGCACCGGGTTCAGGTTGTCGGGGCTGATGAGGGACTGCGCGTCGGCGTACTCCGACAGCGAGTCGGCCGGAGACGAGAACAGGGAGTTTGTGGAGAGGTCATCGATGCAGGACAGGTCCTAAAAAGGGAGAGGAAGGGAGACCAGGCGTCAGGTGCTGCCGCTGCAAAAACATTCCCTTTACCATCAAGGCTGCATGGGGAAAAGAATGCACGATAAATCCTCATCTCGTACCCTTTGGCGGACGCGACACGCAGGTCGCGCGGGGGGGAAAAAAGAGAAGAGGTGGCCGGACGTGAGCGAACCGCAGGCCGTAAAGGAGGCCCATTCACTCTGGATGGCGGCCAACGCCGCACTCTTTTGGGAGTAACACGAGCAGCCCAAACAAAATATAATCACACGCAGATGTGTGAGACTGGGACGGGGACGGGGGGGGGGAGGAGCATAATGAGGGCGCTTGTGTCTGTGTGTCATTCCAGCTATGGCCGCCTTCCAGTCGCCCCTCTATTCATATCCCCACCGAGCCGAGTCTTTAACTACCCCCCCAACCCCCGGGACTTATAAACGTGGATGGGGTGCAGTGATTTGACAACATAGCAGACCACGACAAGCTGAACAGAGGACAGACTGTTTTGGGGAAACGGGGGCACTGATTGACATTTCTTTTTTTTTTTTTTGCGCATGTTTGCCGGTGTGTAGTTCTGGATGTGTGTGCACGTGTATTTATACTCTGTGTTTAAGTTCCCGCCCCCGCCCCTCCCTCGGGATCCAGCTGCCCCCTGCAGATGACCATGAAGCATCTAGCAGACTATCACACTACACTCTAACTTGTTCAGCCCTCAGATTTGAGTCCGAGCTAAAGATATTGACGGTTAAATTAACCAAACCAAACCGCGTTAGTGATGAGTTTTATAACCTCGCTGTGTCCTTGTTTTATCAGAATTCATGTGCTAAGCTATGTTAGCCATTCTTACTCAGTGTGTGGACACGAGACGGGTCAATCTCTACGTCCAACTCCGACTAAGAGAGCGAATGAACCCAAAATGATGGGACTTTCTTCTTCCATTCAAACAAATCCAAGAGCAAAGCAAAGCAAAAGCCTCCATATATAAGCCTCCATGGTCTAGAGCAAAAATCCTGCACCGTCCATCAAGGACGGCCGTGCTTTTCAGCCGAGAGGCTCGATGAGCCGCGACGTCTTAGCGCTGTGACGCTGTCGGTCACCGGCGGCCCGGCTGCAAATGCTCCACCGGCGTGAGAGGAACAGAGAGGGGAGCGCTCGGTGTTAGACGGGGGAGTGGGGGGTGAGGGTGGTAACCAGCGGACGGAACCCCCTCCCTCGGTATCTTTCCCTCCCCTTCTCTCGTTGTGTGCTCCCCGAGGGGCGGGACGGGGGCACGAGGCCGGGTGGAGCAGAGAGGTGCTGGTGATATTCTACAGGAACCCCTTCACAGCACCACCTGTGACACCTTCCACCCCGCGTGTTTGTCTACCCTACGGGGGGGAGGGGGTCTCGCTGTGCCGAGGATACAAACACACAGTAAGCAGGCACATGTATTCCACCAGGGAAAACCAGCAGCCATCGATTGAAATCATTTCATTTCACCTAATTAGGAGAAAGAAGATTGAGTTAACTTGATATTAAACCACAAACAAAAGTTTTCAGTCTCTGAAAACTCGCCCCAAATCTGCTCTGCAAACATGTGAAGTGTATTTACACCCGCAGGTCACTGCTCCGTCGTTTCGGAGGGGGGGGGCTCCGCTGCTGTAATCAAGACGGCCGCAGCCCTCCGGACCAGCAGAGGAGAAACTGCAGCGGGTTGTCGGGAGCTCACCAAAGGACCTCGGTGCCATGCTAATCGAGTTATTAAGCAGAGCGTGACAGAGGCAGCCCCCCACCCACCGCCGCCCCCCCCAAAACCCCCCCGAGGCCTGTACCGAAGACCAGTTTGCCTCCTGTTCTGAGGGCCGGGCCCTGCTGAGGGGAGATAAGGCTTGAATTCCTACTGCTGTGATGGCAATCTGGCTGCCTCCACAGCGCACAGCCACACAGCCATAAAACCGCTAATCCAGCCCCCCCCCACCCCGTCAACCCCCAACCCGCCCCCCCGCCCCCCTCTTCTTCTCGCCTGCGCATTAAAAAAAACAAACGTGTGTTTGTTTTTAAATTGTTTTCAGGGAATTACAACCGTTGGAAATCGTGATTACACATTCTGAGAAGAGGCAGGAAGACTCCAGTCCTCAACCGACCGACTGCAGACGTCTCCACACAGCAGCTCATCACGCCCGGGATGATGACAGTTGTTTAGTTACTGGATGATTAACGGAGAAGAAGCTGCGGCTCGGTGCGGCCGTGGTTATCCGCCTCTCTGGATCACAACTGGAGGAAAACGCAGATATTGAAAGTCTTTGAAAGAACTCCGCACGCATTCCAAACACTAACTGCCACAAAGCGCATTGAGGAGAAGCGAGAAAGCGGCGCCGTGTTCCGCACGGACACTGATTGTAACACCTATGATAAGGTGCTACCGTACGAGGAAGCGCACACACACACACACACACACACACACACACTGATAACCCCCAAAACAGCTCCAACTCTCTTTGTCTGTGCACGTTGCTCCCTTCCTTCTAAAAGGACGCTGTGGTTTGGTCCTCGTGTAGCGCTTGTTGCCCGGCCACATGCCTCCTTTCACACACAGTGTTGCCAGCTGCTGCTTCTCAACGCCAGTCGCTTCTACGACTTCCACCTTTAAATAACCCACACTGAATATCTATGTTTGCTGCAGAGGGAAAAGGCTTGAACGTTAAGAGGCCGATATTCTCCCCTCGGATCCTCAGCCCGTCACCGCTTCCTGTTGGGAGTTGGATGCGGGGCTTTCCCGGGGCGGGCGAGTACACCTCCCACGGCCCCGGCTGCACAGCGCACCCACGTGCACACACAAACACACACCTCGCATGACCTCACCGCATCCGTGGCCGTCCTTTAACACTGTGAACGTCTACGTCACCTCCTCGCACCGTCAGTTACTGATCGCTGATATGAATCTGCATGACGCTCAACATCAAACGCGGCGACTTCATCGGCGTCACAGAGGTGGGTGAAGAAATGTTCACTTGCATAAATCCCAGTCATCGGAAACTACAAGGCGTGTGTGTGTGTGAGGTGAGGTGGTCGGATGGAGGGTTATTAAACCAGCCACCACTCATAAGCGGACTAAAACAACCCCCATCCCAGGCCTTCCCCTCTGGGGTCAGCTGTTGACCTTGTCCATGTAGTCAACGCGAGCTGATTGATGGCCTGTGTGTGTGTGTGTGTCTTTTCATGTTGTGTGTGCCGGGCCAGGAACTAAAAGGCCACCAGCGGTGTGTCCCCGTCTCTCTGTCTGGGTTGTGTTATGCAGAGATGTCTGCGTGGCCTACGTCCCTCTCATACCTGTTGGCGGGGGGGGACTTTTAATAGCTCGGCTCGAGCAGCTTCCTTTTCTTCAAGCAGACGGTGCATTTTCAAACCAGGTCTTTGTCTGGTAAAACTCCAAAGAGTGAATATAAAAGGCTCAAGAAGCCACATTCAGGGAGCCTGTCTTTGGACGATACAAATACATCGTTATGTGAGGAAATACCACACACATATCACGTCCTAATATGACTCCAAGTTAGTTTTCTCAGACAATTCAAACATCTCTCTTGATCTTGAAATGTCAAAGTATTGACATTGTAGTTTAAGAATTCTTACCAAGCCAATTGTCACTTGTTCAATTGACTGCCTTGATACTACAAAGCCAAAACAAGCTATATTCATGGAGTCTTTTCAACAGCAGTCAGACCTCTTCTGAGTTGATCGGGTGCCGGTGCGTAAGAGCTGCGCACACAAAGCCTTTTGTGAAGCCGTCTTTGTGTTGAAAATGACGCCGCGAGACTTCGGCCTCCTGTCACAGAGCTCTGATCCAGCTGCCAATGTGAGAGTGTTTTACAACTGGTTTTAAACTCGCCAGTCACATGAGCTCACGCCAAGAAATACATTCAAACGAAAAGTCTCAGGTCTGAAGCCCAAACTGATGCGACTCAATGCTTTCTAGTCTGATCTTTATGTGATTTTCATTCCCCCGTTGAGACCCAGCGTCTCTCTTCTTCTCAGCTGTGATGGAATTAAAGCATGCAGGCGGAGCCGCCGGCGCCGATATATCGATCCGGAGAAAAACCTTAAGATTCCTCTTCTCCTCAGCAGAGGAGGACAAGCAGCGCTGAACAGTGAGGAGACAATAAAGGAACCGAGGGAAGAGGCAGAAAGAAAAGAGAAGCGATGAGACTTCAGGCCTGCTGTGGTTGTGAACTCAACCACAGACGGGGGGGGGTAATTGGGGGGTGGGTGGGGTGTTGTAATAAGGATGTGCTGGCATCAACACAGACTCATATGAGCTGTTCAAATCTGTATTCTGCAAACTGATGAAAAAAAGAAGGAATTGGTGATTAAGATCAGCATTACAAAAACAAAACAAAAAATCACTAGCGGTCTGAAACTGTGTGTGTGTGTGTGTGTGTGTGTGTGTGTGTGTGAGAGAGATAAACACATTTTGCCGTGTTGATGCAAGATGACGTCTCGCATCAGCACAAATTGCAACATATTCCGCAGGACTTTGCAACAGGGTGAGACGGAAAAAAACAGACCATGTGACGTTAAAAGAGCTTGAGTTGCAGTTAAGAATACGGAGGACAAAAAGAAACTCATTTGCCTTCTGCGATCTCTGATAATCTTAAGAAGTTGCCACTTTCACACACCTGTGGTCAGTGGACTACGACGGCGCTGTGACCGCGAAAAAAATACATTTTCTGCACCAAAGTCTGTCTGTTAGATTAACATTTTGCCTTTAACAACTATGGTGCCTCCTTTAATGGCGATGTTGTAGTGAATGTGACTGCATAATTCACCTTTGTTCTTCAATGTCACAAATACAAATACAAAAAAACCCAGCTCACAAATATATTGAAAAACACATTGTGCATTTCTAAATAGAATAATGCGCGATAAACAGTGAGTCAATCATTCTGAGACTTGAAAGTCTGAGCACGACACTGCAGGGGTTAAAAAAGGGTTACAAAGTGGAGTCAAGGTCTTAGAA